AAAGAGCTTCACGGATAAGAAAAAGCTAAAGGAGTTCATCACCACCAAACCAGCATTATATGAAATGCTGAAAGGTATTCTTTAAGAAGACGAAGAAGAAAAAGGAACTCTTACCATTTGCCACAGCATGGATGGAACTGGAGAGCGGATAAATACCACAGGATCTCACTCATTTGTGGAATATAATGAACAACATAAACTGATGAACAAGGACTGATCCAGAGATGGAGAGGCATTGATTGGACTGTCGGGCCTTGGAGGGAAGGTAGGGGAGGGTAGGGGTAAGGGGGAAAGATCAACCAAAGGACTTATATGCAAGCATATAGGCCTAACCAATGGACACGGACAACGGGGGGGTGAGGGCATGAGCGGGGGGGGGGGGGTAGAGGGTAACGTGGGGACAAGGACACATATGTAATATCTTAATCAATAAAAAATATATTAAAAAAAAAAACAAAACCTTTATAGTCAACAAACAACCTATTGATGCTGATTTGGTTTCCTAAGTAGGTTTTCCTACTGCTAAGGGTATAAGCTGACCTATGGATTCTGTTATTCCAGTTGATTTTGCATTTTCCATTATCCACCTAAATTAATAACGGAGCCCTCTCTTATTATCAGTGTCTCCTGTAGGTTTGATTACTACAAGTCAGTCATCAAAACCAGCGCATCCTTCTGTGAATTGGCAAAATTGAGTGTGTGTATTTTCAAATTGGGACCACAGTGTAGGAATGGACTAGAAACTGTCTTCATTTTGCTCTTCACTGCAAAGTCTCTACTTCTTAAGTCTGAGCATACCTGTATGAGTCTGACTCAACATATGTGTCATCCATATTCTGATGACTCTCAAATTCTTATCACTAGCCCAATTCTCTCCTCCCAAGTCTAGACTCATATACCAAAGAATAGCATCTCAAATGGCAATTCCCCGAAGTATTGAAAATAGAATTACCACATGATTCAGCAATCCCACTTTAGGTATATGGCCAAAAGAATTGAATGCAGGATCTCAGATATTTGTATATTCACGTTAATAGCGGCATTATTCACAATAGCCAAAAGGTAGAAGCAACTCAAATGCCCATCAAGGATGAATGGGTAAAGAAAATGGGGTGTATGCATAAAATGGAATACTATTCAGCCTTAAAAGGAAGGAAATTCTGACACATGCTACAACATGGGATGGGCCTGGAGGACATTATGCTAAGTAAAATAAGCCAGTCACAAAAACACAAATATTGCATTATTTCACTTATATAAGATATGACTATGAGTATGAGGCTATAGTAGCCAAACTCAAAGAAACAGAAGGTAGAATGGTGGTTTCTTGGGGCTAGGGGAGGGACAATGGAAAATTTTCACTTTTCAAGATAAAAAATGTCCAGAGACTGGTTGCACAACAATGTGAATATACTTAACATTACTGAATTGTACACCTAGAAATGGTTAAGATGGTAAATTTTTTTTTAAATGTATTTTATTGATTTTTTACAGAGAGGAAGGGAGAGGGACAGAGAGTCAGAAACATCGATGAGAGAGAAACATCGACCAGCTGCCTCCTGCACACCTCCTACTGGGGATATGCCCGCAACCAAGGTACATGCCCTTGACCGGAATCGAACCTGGGACCCTTCAGTCCGCAGGCTGATGCTCTATCCACTGAGCCAAACCGGTCTGGCAAGATGGTAAATTTTGTATATACTTTACCACAATTAAAAGTTTAAAAAAATAACATGCCTTTGGTAAATTTGGGCCTTTTTGTTTTCTTTGTGCTTGGAAATGAGTATTGATGTTGCTGGTTCTCTAGTAAGCAATTGTGAATTTGCTTCTTAATGAATGTCAAAGGCTTTGCACATGTCAGTGGTGTCTGTGGAAGGGAAAGAAGTTATACAGCATACTTATGGTAATACTCTACTACGGGAAAGAGTATCTTTTCAAAGGAGTATCTTCCCAGCTTAATAGTACTATATGTCATATACACAGCGAACACAATGACTGTAGAGGCACATTTTGGGAAAAGAGCTCAAAGTTAGGAATGGGGGGGGGGATGGTGTTGTTAAACCTCTCACTGAGACCTTAACACTATGATCCTCTTCTTTTCTTTTTATAGGATTTAATTTTTTTAATTATTATTTTTTTAATCCTCACCCAAGGATGTGTTTTTCATTAGAGAGAGAGAGAGAGAGAGAGAGAGAGAGAGAGAGAAGAAAAACATTGAGGAGAGAGAGAAACACCAGTTGCCTTTGCAAACCCTCAACCTGTGGTATGTGCCCTGTCGGGGAATCAAACCCATGACCCATTAGTGCATAGGACGACACTCTAACCAACTGAGCCACATGGGCCAGGGCTGATCCCCTTCTTTGAATGGACTATCTTACATCAGGCTTTAAAAAATTATTCACACAGCTTTTTGTAGAATATGAAAATACATTCAAAAATAATCTAGAATCAGGGGTGGGCAAACTTTTTGACTCGAGGGCCACAATGGGTTCTTAAACTGGACCGGAGGGCCGGAACAAAAGCATGGATGGAGTGTTTGTGTGAACTAATATAAATTCAAAGTAAACATCATTACATAAAAGGGTACGGTCTTTTTTTTTTTTTTTTTTTTTTTTTTTTAGCTTTATTGATTTCAAACGGGCCGGATCCGGCCCGTGGGCCGTAGTTTGCCCACGGCTGAATTCTAGATAGTCCAAATTCACAGTGACAAGGAATTTAATGGAGGACATAAACCTGGTCATGACATAAGCAGTGAGCCTTCTCTATAGATAAATCTGCTTTGTGTCTAGTTTTCAAGCATTACTTGCTCATTTATCTTTCCCATTTGTATTACTCGTTTCTAAAAATGAATATGCCAGTGATCTGCCCAGATCACTGACCTTTGCAAACAAAACTGTGAAGCCTAAGGGAACTGTATTAAGCCAGTTCTTGTTGGTTTTCTCTTCAGAGGGAAGTTTGATTGTCTTCCTGTGCCGACGAAGTTTAGGGAATGTGCCAGTGAATGTTTGCAGACTCTGTGTGTATGTGTGTACCCAATAATGAAGTCCACTATTTGGTTGGGCAAAGAGTCAATCAACACTGTTTTTGTTCGGTCTCTAATATGTGAGAAACATTTTTAAGTTTCAAAATTATTATATAGAAAGAATTATACCAATGGCAAAGGTTGTGAAAAAAATGTAAACATGAACACACAGGAGAGAGCAGATGATGGACTACGTGTAAGTTTTGACTGGTTCTGGGGCAGGAAAAAAACACACAACAGACATAAGAACCTAAAGAGCATTTAAGATAGTGGCCGCTTAAAACCCCTCTCCCTAGCATTGGGGAGGAACACAAAAATGTACGCTGTCCAGTTCCTTCTTCACCTAGTTGAAGATTAGACATGGCCATGCATTCATTAGTCAACTTTGCATCATTGAGACTCTGGCAAAAACTGCCCATATAGGGCGGTGGGGGCTTGCCCCGGGCGGGAATGGCTAGGGGGTAGGGAGTTCAATTGGGGAAAAAGGAGACATATGTAAAACTTTAGACAATAGCCAGAGCCGGTTTGGCTCAGTGGATAGAGCGTAGGCCTGCGGACTCAAGGGTCCCAGGTTCGATTCCGGTCAAGGGTCAAGGGCATGTACCTTGGTTGCAGGCACATCCCCAGTGGGGGGCGTGCAGAAGGCAGCTGATCGATGTTTCTGGCTCTCTATCCCTCTCCCTTCCTCTCTGTAAAAAATCAATAAAATATACTTTAAAAAAAACTTTAGACAATAAAAAAATAAAAAATTGCCCATATAGTGAGGGTTCAATGGAGGTGTGCTAAATGGATACATTGAGTTTATGATAGGTGTTGTGACATATAGTGTGGGGATGCGTGACCCAGTGTTTTGGCGCAGAGTCATTCTTAAAGTCAGATTTTGAGGTCTCAGAATGTGGACTTTACCACCAAGATTTATTATCTGATTATTTAGCTCGGAAAAACAGGGCGTGGAACAAACAAGGGCGGGCTTGGTATTGGAGGCAAAAACGCCTTTGAAGGAGGACCTGTTTCAGGGGCGATGCTAAGCTTGAGCTAGGCATTTGAAGTCTGAAGAGATGGTGAGAAATTCACGTGCAAACTCCAGCAGGCACCCGCCAGGGGTGGGCAAACTTTTTGACTCGAGGGCCACAATGGGTTCTTAAACTGGACCGGAGGGCCGGAACAAAAGCATGGATGGAGTGTTTGTGTGAACTAATATAAATTCAAAGTAAACATCATTACATAAAAGGGTATGGTCTTTTTTTTTTTTGTTTTATTCATTTCAAACGGGCCGGATCTGGCCCTCGGGCCGTAGTTTGCCCACGGCTGGCCCTAGCCTCTGGCAGCGAGATGAGTTCCACATGTAGGGTGCACTGGGCAGGGTGCAGCGGGCGGGACCCCGCATGCCAGCCCTGCACCCTTTGGCTGCACTCGGAAGGCAGGGGAGACAGGGGTGATGCGCCGGCAGCTCACCTTTCTTGAGTGCCCGGCCGCGAGCGCAGCTCTTCACCTCCAGAACCGCATGCACCTCACTGCACACTCACCACGTCCCCAAGAGGACGCGGCCCTGGGCGACTCACACCACCCTCCCCAGAACGGATGCTACGAGACCGAGGGGGAGCGGCCAGGATTCGGGCTCTGAGGACACCCCGTTTAGGAAGCGCGCCTCTTATCAGAGCGGGAATGCGGGGACAGGGGGGTGCCGGACCTCGGCGAGGGGCCGGAGACCCGGGCCTCGGGGCACAGTCCCAGTCTCGGCAGCACCCGCCCGTCTGGGACCGAGGCCCCGCGCTCGCCAGGGGCGGCTCAGCGGTTCCCGGGCGCGCCCACCGGGGGTGGGTGACGCGTCACCACCTCCCCGCCCCGCCCCGCCCCGCGACCCCCTCCCCGGACCCCCTCCCTCCCTCCCCCATCCGGCCCCGGCGCGCGCGCTGGGGTGAGGGGCGTGGGAGCCGACGGCGGGAGGGCGGGGGGACGCGCGGGGCACGTCAGAGCGGCGTAGACAAAGGCGGCGCGCGCACGTCTGACGCACGGCTCGGCGCGGCGGCGGGCCAGGGGGGAGGGGCCGGCGCCGGAGGGCCGGGGAGCCGCGCAGCCTCGCGGACGGTGAGTACGACCCAGCCGCCTCCTCCCTGAAGGTCAGTGGCCTCGGGGGAGCCGACAACCGAGCGTGGGGTTCGGGGCGAGGGGCCTGCGGGCCGGGGACGCCCTCCCAGCGCCGCGCCGGCGGCAGGAGGCACCATCGCGGCTGCCCGGGGTGGCCCGGCCAGTCGGAGCGTTCCGCCCCGCGGCCGCAGTGGAACCGTCCGCGCCCCTTCCGCCGCCCCTGCGCCGGGAGCCCGGTCCCCGCGCGGCCGCCCTCCGCCCGGGCCCTCCCCGCTCCGCCCGGTCCTAGCGACGGACTCCTAGGTCCTCCCGATTCCGGGGTTCCCCGAGCGCGCCAGCCCCTCGCGCCTGGGGATGCAGCTCGGGAGACTGCAGGGGGTGTCAGGCGTCGCGAGGAAGTGCCCTCGCCCATGGTTTCCTTTCCTGTGTCCTTCGGCTTCCCGGGATGTCTATTCTCTCTCGTTCTCCAAGGGAGCCCCGTTTTTCCTTTCTGTACCCCCGAAATCCCTTGCCTTTGCGTGTTGCTTTCACGCGCTGCGAGGCATCCTCCCACCAGGGGATCTTGTTGATTTCCTCGCTTTCCGTTTCGCATGGGGTTTGACTTTTGCAGTTGGAAAGTTAGGGAAAATGCACCATGGGAACCATCACAGCATAGCTCCGTGGAAGGGCGTTCCGCTCTGTGGTATACAGCGTGCCTCTCCCTGCCATGCCCTCCTGCCGTGGATCTTCTCACTGATAACCTTGGGATCAGTTGTAGAATTTCCTCTTTGGTTCATTTTCCTTCATTTTGGCCGGACTTGGAGTAGCTTTCCTTAGTTTCAGGTCTTGTAGATTCTATCTCAGCCCAAGGGAAATGGTGTGAGCAGCAATTATCCTTATGCCAAAGACTGTGATCATTCCAGTTCGGTGTTCTTTTCTCACTTTGACAGTGATGTTGTGTGTGTGTGTGTGTGTGTGTGTTTTGTGTTTTTTGCGTTTTTCAACTTCATATTGATGGAGGATTTCCGACATACAAAAGTAAATAGAATAGTAAATCAGCAGATAGCCATCATCCAGCCTCCACAGCTCACTGTATGGCAAAGCCTGTTCCATCTGTGTCTCCATCCATTTCCCCCTCCTTTGTATCTTTGGGTTAAATCCTTGATGTCAAAAGTAGCTTGAGATTCAGAATAAAAATCTTGCTGTCAAATAGTCAGCATGTACTTTTATTGGGACACAGTCTGCTATTAGAAGTCCTTCAGATAAGAAACATAGCCAGCACTGGAGAAGGACTAGAAAAGGGTATGAAAAATGATTAAGTTGCTGGAGGGCAGGTTAAAACAAGTCTTCCAGGTCAGGATGAGAACTTCCAGGTCATCTTGTCTAACTTTCCATTATTTTTTTTTAAAATGTATTTTATTGATTTTTTTACAGAGAGGAAGGGAGAGGGATAGAGAGTTAGAAACATCGATGAGAGAGAAACATCGACCAGCTGCCTCCTGCACACCCCCTACTGAGTATGTGCCCGCAACCAAGGTACATGCCCTTGACCAGAATCAAACCTGGGACCAGTCAGTCCACAGGCCAATGCTCTATCCACTGAGCCAAACCGGTTAGGGCTAATTTTCCATTTTTGATGAGCCCTCAAGGTCCAGAGAGGTTCAGTGACTTGTCCAGATCTACAGGAATAAGAGGCTGAACGGAGCTGAGGAGACACCTCCCAACTCCTCGCTTGCTCTTTCCACTGTACCACACTGCTTACCTCTAGGTTGTCTTCAGGAAAGAGAAATGTGTGGAAGGGCTATGACTGAAAACCCTTACACTGAAGGGTTTGGGCAGTTAAATGTGAAAAACGTTCCCACCAAATTCAGGTATAATACAACTAGGAGATAGGCCTCAAATTAGTTCTTAAACTACATTTGGGGCAAATGTCTACTAGTAATCATAGCTTTTCAGTCATATGGGAAAATTGTGACCCTAGAACTAGAATAGCAGACTGATAATAAGAACAAGCTTTTAAAAGATTAGGTAACATTCACAACTATTTAGTAGTAGTTGGAATATACCCCAGAGGTTTTGCTTATTGATATCGGGGAGAATAGCCCTTTCCAAAAACATTCTTTCTTGCCATTAACAGATAAGAAACCTGGGCTGGATGAATTGTGGGTTGGGTTTTTTTTGTTGTTGTTTTTTTAACCGTGTACATATTTCCTAGCACACTTTATGCTATTAAAATTTCCTATCTCAAAAAAGACAGGTAAGTTCAGTATTTGTGTCTCAGTTTTCTTTTAATATGGGCATAGTCTATCTCCAAGGTATATAGAGTTCTTTGAGTTCAGTTTATATAATGTAGCACAGTTGTTTATAAATTTCTTTCAGGGCGGACTTCTGTGAGTTTGTGACCTAAATAACAATAGTTATCATGTGTATCTGTTACTGGGGAGATGCAGAGCCCTCAGTTCAAAGATGTTACCAGGGAGACTCAGAGCCCTCAGTTCTTGTCTTCTTGAGGGAAAGATTTTTTAAATATATATATACACACACACACACACACACACACACACACACATACATATATATACATATATATTGATTTCAGAGAGGAAGGGAGAGAGAGAGGGAAACATCAGTGATGAGAGAATCATTGATTGGCTGCCTCCTGCATGCTCCACACTGGGGGATTGAGCCTGCAACCTGGGCATATGGCCTTGACCAAAATCAAACCCGGGACTCTTCAGTCTGCAGTCCGACACTCTATTCACTGAGCCAAACCAGCTAGGGCGAGGGAAAGATTTAAATCAAGAGACAAAGTGTAGAAAAGCAAGCAAGAACTTACTGACCGCAGCAAAGCTATACTTAGAAGAGCGAAACGGAATGCATAGAAGAAGCAACAAGATAGACTAGACTCGGCTGCTTTGGCTCACTGGGAAGTCAGAGAAAGGGGGCCTTGGAGACAGGGTCCGGGGGTCAGCCTGGGCGAGCTGCTGCTGCCCGTTGCTCCCCTGGTTGCAAGTCTCATGGGATCCCTTAGAGCAGTGGTTCTCAACCTTCCTAATGCAGCGACCCTTTAATACAGTTCCTCGTGTTGTGGTGACCCCCAACCATAACATTATTTTCGTTGCTACTTCATAACTGTAATTTTGCTACTCTTATGAATCCTAATGTAAATATCTGATATGCAGGGTGTATTTTCATTGTTACAAATTGAACATAATTAAAGCATAGTGATTAATCACAAAAACAATATGTAATTATATATGTTTTCCGATGGCCTTAGGCGACCCCTGTGAAAGGGTCGTTTGACCCCCAAAGGGGTCGCGACCCACAGGTTGAGAACCGCCGCCTTAGAGGTTATGGGGAGGAGATGGGGGAGAGAATGGCGGGGGCCTGCTCCCTGGAGGGAGAGTACACCAGGACCTTAAGCTATTTACCCTCTGGTTGGGGAGAAGTGCAAACCATTTAGGCTGAAGTGTAGGGAAGATAGCATTTACTAGGTGGCTGCAAACTGCTGTTTAACTATTTGTATTACTTTCCCTATTTCACTTGTTCTGGAATTTTCCTATCTTTTTACTATTCTATAACATCCAGTTTATGCAAGTACTACTGGAATAACAGCATCTTGGTGTCTTGGTAAATCATCACCCCTGAAGACATGGGGTAGGGGGCTTGTGTATTTTGTGTGATTGTTTGTGTTTATGGTGTTAAAAAGAGTGCTGTGGTTAGTCTATCAGGATTTTAGCTTAAGTTGCTATTTTCTGCTAAAGAATAAACCCCTTCTCTCATCTGTATGCACATCACAAAAGGTTACCTTTTATTTGAAAAAATCTCTTACTTTCTGGAGATACAAGCCAGAGGTTTAAGCTTGAATTGTACTGCAGAATTGTTTCTTCAAGTAACAGAGCCTCATTGTGGTATGTCATTTACATCTTATGTATCATTATGCTTACTTATGTGAGGGCTTGACCAAATGTCATCAATTCATTGGAGCAGTAAGTAATCTACATAATGATGTTTACTGTAGCATGATGAATGCTTTGTAAGAGTGCAGAATTGTAGAGTTAGGAAAGTTACAGGTTCCTGGAGTTTTTCCTAACTCCATTAAGGTGCTCTTTCACCTTTAAAAAACTTACATACATATCATATGTACACGCCATACAATCACAGAGGCTTGTCTCCTTTTTGGCGGCTCTTTATTTTGTCTCGTATGATAGTTGTGTGTTTTGTGTGTACTTCCCATTAAACTATAAGCTCAAGATCTGCAATACTAGAATAATACTTTGTGAAAAGTAGGAGCATATTATAGTTGACTTTTTAAATTAAAAAACAAAAAGTGAGGAAACTTAAATCCAGGGAAGCTAGTAACTAATAGACCAGATAGTAACAGAGCTGTAGCTCAAACCTAAGACAGCTCCTGAGTTCCAGGTGTAAACCCTTTGTATTGTACCATTTTGTTCACACCTTGGAGGAATTGGGGGGGTGGAGGGGGAAATATATGTATATATATTTTTTCTTACCTGTTAGAGATATATTATTTTCAGGGTCTGCTTTAAAAGTATTTGATCACTGCTACCCAGTAGAAATATAATATAAGCCTTGTAGGGATCGAGCCTGCAACCCGGGCAATACCCACTCTTAAAAAAGGTAAAAAGAGCCCTAACCGGTTTGGCTCAGTGGATAGAGCGTTGGCCCGCGGACTGAGAGGTCCCAGGTTCAATTCTGGTCAGGGCATGTGCCTTGGTGGCGGGCACATCCTTGGTGGGGGGTGTGAGGGAAGCAGCTGATCGATGTTTCTCTCTCATTGATGTTTCTAGCTCTCTATCCCTCTCCTTTCCTCTCTGTAAAAAATCAATAAAATATATATATATTTTAAAAAAGGTAAAAAGACTGCTCTGGCTGTTGTGGCTTAGTGATTCAAGTGTTGGCCTATGCACTGAAGGGCCATAGGTTCTATTCCTGGTCAAGGGCACTTACCTGGGTTGCAGAGTCAATCCCTGGTCCTATTTGGGCACTTGCGGGCGGCAACCAATCGATGTATGTCTCTCTCTCTCTCTTC